TGTGTATAAGAGACAGATATATATATATGGACTGATCAGAAATGAATAGTAAATGTTCAATAATTTTAATTATTTATTATTTTATACTACTAGATATTAGTTTTATTAAATATCCACTTTATTTTTTATCTATTTATATTTTACATATATATTACCAAAGATAAATGAACTGATCAGAAATGAATAGTGATTGTTTAATAATTCTAGTATTTATTTCATACTAAACATTTTTATTTGGTAACAAAGATAGTATCTGTGATGAAATTTAAAAAATCTCTCAATAATTGAATTTCAAAAAAATGAATTGCAGATTTAATCAAATAAGTTAATAACTTTCAATGAAACACAGGTTTTCATAGATTTACAGACCTTTTACTACGATATCTTTTAATTGATTACCTGCTAATTTAAGGGATGCAAAACAATATGAATTTATATAGATTGAGAAGCCAGATGAATATTTTCAACTATGTAAAAAAAATATATATTTATATCTGTTAATTGTGAGAAAAAATGTTTTCATATTTTAATTAGTATTTAATTCTTAAAAGATTTTACTCATCACAGACATTATCTTTAATTAAATTCATCTTATATATAATTAATTATTGTAATATAAAATGTTTTTCTGTTATTTACTTTTGCGTTGCAACAGTACCACAGATTTTTCCTTAAAGTAAGCTTGTAAGGAAAGTTAAATTATCACAACGCCAACTCAACAGTATGTTTCTTTAATATGTGAATATTTCAGCAAATTAGTTAGTGATTTTAGCATAATATTATTGCACGTTATAGCTTAGAATCTTACTGATGAAAAAATGTGTAAAGATGCTTTGATTAATAACCGATGCCAACTTTAGCTTTGGGCTCACTACAAAAGATGCTTATGCATTAATTTTCATGTTGGCGTACAATAAAATGCTATTTTTACAACAATCTTGTTAATTAATTTATCTGACAAGTATATGATTGTGGGTAGTATAATAAAGTTAAAAAAACTTTAGGAGCTTTATCTCAAGTAACATTGAAAATAGTTACATATATAAATAGATTTAATTTGTAATATTCTATTTGATTGATTTATTTTTATACGTTTCAGGCACCAAATAGGTACTTACTGCCACAGGTAAAGCCACAAGATATGCAAAAGAATTGTATAGTAATTGACTTGGATGAGACCTTGGTACATAGCTCATTTAAGGTGAGTTTATTTCAAGAACCAGGAGGATTATATTACAGACTGGATGAATGCAGATGATTATGGGACTACCATTGGACATAATAATAATAATAATAATAATAATAATAATAATAATAATTATTATTATTATTATTATTATTATTATTATTATTATTATTATTATTATTATTATTGTAATTATAATATTAATAACGATGGTAACACTAATGATAATTGAATTTATCTTGAAAATATAATTTCATATTTATTGGTTTTTTAAAGCCAGGTTCCAGAGGGAAAAATTGTTTGAAATTTGTAGAACTGATTTTTCCAACACATGAAAAGTATTTTCAACGAAAAACTTTAGAACGGTCAATGAGAATGAGAATTTTTTTTTTAAATATTTAAGAACCGGAAGGGGGAGAAATCTACCCTTTTTTCCACCTTTTTACCAGTTTTTAAATATTAAAAACTATATATCTCATTAACTGTTCCTAACTTTTTCATCAGTTCTACAACATATCAAAATGCATGTATGTTTGTATGACAGTATTTCACGTCCAATCCAGGATCATCAGACCAACTGGTCTTCTGCAGCTAATCCCTTACACAATATATTTATTTATCAACATTTTAAACATAATATTACAAAGTTGTTAAACACTCTAAGGAAGTATGAAGTATAAATTATAGTAACTGGGTCAGAAGTGAACGTCACCAAACATAATATGCTATATCACAGTACTCTACTTTGATAAGGATACAATATGGTAAATTTGTACTACTATTTAGACCATTATGCTTGCTATTGTGATCTGACCAAATGTGTAGGTTTTCAGTTTTTCCAAGTGGATATTTTTTTAGGACTTTACACTATGTCTCCATTTTTCATATTTTTGTGCGATAATAGAAACAAGATGATAGTCAGATTTTTAAAACCATGTGCTAATAATTAAGAATGTACTTATGATTACATATTCCTCCCACTGACTGCTCATCATAATGCATGTCAACCAGAAGCCTAATAACAAAATACCTTATATGTATTCATGCATGACATATTGATATTTATATAGTAGAGAATGTAGTTTTTGAAGCCTAAAGTCAGCACTGTATACTGTCCTTACAAGGGTCCAGAATTACACCAATAAGGTTATTTTACACTGTTATGTTATGGTTAGCCCTATACCAGTGATCCTATACCCTTATGGTTGAACTTCCCCTATGGTAAACATTTTTGTTTTGTGCTTTTGTTTTTTTAATTTTCATTTTTTATGTACACATGAACAAATTACTGGTATACACTTAAAATTTAAAAGGTTTTATTTTATTTTAAATGGTTTTACACTAATACTTAGGAAGTATGGAGAAAAAAAAAATCATATTTTGCAGTTGTGTAAAATCTTGTTATTTCAATAAACATTGGTCATTGTAGTTGTATTATAATATAGTAGCCTCATTCTACCTTAAATTCTAGATTTGTTTTCTTAGTCTGTTATGGCTAGGTCATGTGATTTGGTCATGTGATTTGGTGCTATTTACCTATGCATCTCTTTATGTAGCCTGGTAGAAGTCTGTGTTTATCTACCATTAACATCCATAATATCCATGTATTTATTTTATTTTAAATTTCATTTGCTTCAAAAAGTAAATGACTTGACAATGCCAAGATGGATAGACTGGCTGTAGTGGTACTCATTAATAATGAGTCTTAGAATTTAGATTTTTTGTGTCTACTACCCCTGTGGAGGTCAGTAGGCACTTAGGTATCTTCTGGAAATTTACTTGTGAGCGTAAGTCCATTGAGGTGCATGATGGGATATTGCATCATAAGCAAAGAATTTTCTCGCTCGGGCCAGGTTTTACCTTTTTATCAGATTGGTCTCCTGATTGTTAATAAACATAAGGCAGTAGAAAGACACTCGCTTCTGCTGGAAGCCTATTTTTCTTAGTTGGAAAAATAAATCCTTGTATTTGCAGGATTTTGTATCAAGAAGTTTGGTAGGCAACCATCAACTTAAACTACAATAATACAGGTTGTGCAAAGTCTATCACCCTTATCAACCAATAGATGGGTTGGGAATGTAATTTGATAGATCACTTAAAAATTAATCTATGATTAAAGATAGTGCATATCTGAAAATCAGGAAACTTCAAATAACTGGTAACTTATTACCTTAAAATGTCAAAAAATCTACATATCAGTTTCATATCAGAGAATTTTTTACTACAAAAATATTTTAATTTATTACTGTACAATCTAAGGGTAAAAAAAAAACCAGATAAACATTAATAAGAGACATTGAATTGGCAGAGAGCCTATTAAAACAACTCCTCTTTATCAATTGGTTTCTAGAATATGGGTCCTAATGGTTTGTGCTGTAGTGATTGATATACTTGTTAGGGACCAGTCATACCAGTGTATTGTGAAGGGGAATGTTCAAGTGTAACATATCGTTATTCAATTGTGTGCATTTTTTTTCTTTTGCAGCCTGTTAGTAATGCTGATTTTGTTGTTCCTGTAGAAATAGATGGTACAGTACATCAGGTATGTAGTCAGTCAGTCAGTTTCAGTATCATTTAAATAGGCCCTAATTAAAAATTGATAAATTTGTGTTGTATTTGTTGACACCTTTGGTGATAAATAATTGAAAATTTATTTCATAATTTGGTATTTGTAGATATCATATATTGTTATTTGTAGGTATATAACCTCATCTTAACAACAAGGGTAAAGGCCTGTTTACACTTCAACGATAACGATAACGATAAAAATGCTAAAAAGTGATTGTTCATATAGAAAACAAAAGAAATTAGAGAGGTTTTTACACTAGGACGATTCTATAACGATTTATCGTGTATGCAATAACAAATTATTTTAACAAATCAAATCAGATGACGTCATAATCATGGACAAACGATAAAATCGTTGCTACTATGACGATTTTAGTGTTTTTCCATGATTATGACGTCATCTGATTTGATTTGTCAAAATATTATCATTGAAGTATAAACAGGCCTTTAGGCCAATAATTATATAGATTTACCAAGACAGCAGTTTATTCATTTTTGTAGCTGTTAGATTGTTAATGACTGATTTGTTTTTACCGAATTTCTCTAAATTTCCAATTTAATTGATTGGTTTTGTACCTGTCATTGAGAAGTATATTTTTAGACTTGCCTCCTTGCAAACAGTCTTATATAAATCCGTTGTGCTTGTTACACTTGATATCGGCATCCCTCACTTAAAGTAGCTCTTGTGAGTTAATGTGTAAGACACACATTACATGAATATGTCATGTGAGTTGATAGATGGAGCATGATAAAGTGGTGGTATTCATTTGTTGATGTCATATGTGTTTGGGTTACTGCTATTATTATAATCATGTTATAAGTTGTTTTTCTGATATTGTTATTTTTATAATGTAAATTATCCTGCATGCCACATAGCCAATCAATGAAGGAAAATGCAGGATGTTTGTACTTTAATACACATTAAGGATAAATGTTTACATAAATACTGTAGTCGGTTTTCAAAAGAGTACAGTAACTGAAAAAAGAAATTGTTCAGAGTAGCTTTTCTCCTTTAAACCTGGAAAATTAACATGTAGGTAGAGTTGATGGCTTGTTTACAGTTTTCTGGTTTATAATATTTACAAAGATAATTGTGGTTTGGTGGGTGTTTTTGTGGTTTAAAGAATTTTGTGATATCCTGTCTGTAACCTTCATATTAGGTAAAAGTAGTGATTCAAAAAGGTAATATAATTATTAAGCATTCCTAACATATTGAATGAGAACACTGCTTTAAGTTCTATTATATTATAACTATTGAAAATGAAGCCCAAGTTGGTACATGTCAGAATGATGTTTGAGTCCTACCACATTATAACAACTTTAGTATTAATTTCTTGTCAGTTTATTTCACTCTTCAAAGCTGCACAGCAGTTCAGAAACTGTATCATAACTTTTGATGATATCTGCTACTGCTGTATTCTGAGGTTCAGACAAGGGATGGAGGGGTTCTAAGTCTTCATGCAAATGTTATGAGGTTATAATGCATTGAGGAAAACATAGTATTGCGTTACTGTACTCTGAAGGACAGTATAAACTCGGTTGGCAGAACACTGGAATGTTCTCTAAAGGCCACTGGTTCAATTCCCACAGCTGCCTGTATTTTCTCTGCTGACCCTTCGTTACCTTTTCACACTTTTTAGTTTGTATAAAAACCAATTTAATAATCATATCACCTTCATTGATAACTCCACTTAGTGGGAAAATATCTTAGACTGGTGTGTTCAGGTTGAGACATCAAGTTCGCTTATTCCCCAATGAGAGCATGAAAATTAAGCTCAGTTGCAGAGTGTCACAAAGGTACTATACAGTAAATCGACATGACAGCCTTTGAGAAGAAAAGTACACCGCCGTCTAGAGCTCTACATTTGGGTCACTTTAATTAACATAATAACAGTATTTGTTTTTTTTTCTCTTAGGTGTATGTTCTTAAGAGGCCTTTTGTTGATGAGTTTTTACAACGAATGGGAGAGCTCTACGAATGTGTCTTATTCACAGCAAGTTTAGCAAAGGTGACACTTTACAAATACCGTATATCTATATCTATACCTGAAACCAATTTCTAAAATCTATAGTATACACTATAGTATTGTTTTGTCATACAATAATTGTGGGTGGTAGTCATGACAGTGATGATGATAGTGTCCCTGGAAACTGGCACATTTTCTTTGCGCTCCAGTAAGCTAGCAAAATCTCCCACTCACTAACACAATTTGCACAACAAAATACTAGTGTAAAGAATGTTTACTAAGCCAGACCCTTGTGAAGCATGGAGGAAGTTACTTTTGTTACATTTGGACTAACTAAAAACTAAAACTAAATCCTTTCCGAGCCACTAGGGGCTCAATGTGCTGGAGTTTATCCCAGTTTCCTTAGTGTGAAGTGGATGAGCGTTGTACTCCCCCGGACGGGACACTAGTCCATCGCAGGTTAGTCCCCAGCAGTTTGCTGGTACCCATTGATACAGCTGGGTGGACTGAAGCAATGTAGTTAAAGTGCCTTGCCCAAGGTCACAAGCGAATCTGCACAGCGTAGACTCGAAACCCAGACCTTTCGATTAAAAATCCGAACCTCAACCGCTGCGCCAAACTGCCGCTACTTACATTAGGACCCTCAGGGGTAATTGCTTAATTAGTGTTGAGTGTAATGGTGGCATCAATTATTGATAATTATGGTATTAATAGTGTTGGTGTAATAGTGGTGTGAGTAGTGGTGGTGTTAATAGTGTTGGTGTAATAGTAGTGTCGGTAATGGTAATGGTGGTGTAGTAGTAGTGGTAGTGTTAATAGTGTTGGTATAATAATGGTGTCAGTAGTGTTGGTGATAGTGATGGTGTAAATAGTGTTACTATAATAATGATGTTAATAGTGTTGGTGTAATTGTGGCGTTCATAGTGTTGATGGTAATATTAATGTTGGTAGTAAGGTGGTATTGGTGGTAATTGTACTATGTATGTTGATAATAGTGATAATATAACAAAATGATAGTTTTGCTAATGTGAAAATTAGTGCACTGCCAATAACAAACAAAAATTATCCAACTAAATATTAATGAAAATAACACAGAACTAAAATAAAATTTTCAACAATATTAGCAGATGTAGTTGTGGTTGATAGAAATGGTAATAGTGGAGTTATGACATTTGAATCTCCAAACGGCATTTAATCAATTGCAAAGGATTTTTTTGGATACTGTAGAATGTTGTGGATATGACACTAGAATCTAAAGTGTATTCAATTGTATTCAATTGGACACCAAATTATTTTTTCTCCAAAATTTACGGCTATCCAGAGGATTAAATATTTTTATGAATTATTGATAGAAACATAAAAGTCAATACTACTTTGGTATTGGAGATTATTTTTTAAATGAAATATATATTCTATTATGTATTTGAAATTCATGAAAGACTATTAAATTTTATGCAAAACCTGATATAAAATGCTAGATTTAGAATATTTAAAAAATATAATTTCATGAATTGCACATGAAAGAAACATTTTCTTCCCTTGTCATAAAATCTTAATCTTAATACAGGAACTTATTCAACTTATTATTTTTGTTGAAATGTTTTATTTTTTACATAGAGGTATCTTATATACCATTAATATTTTTATATATTTAAAAAGAGATATGTTTCTTTATGTAGTATTTGTAAAAAAAAATTTAATATGTAGAATATAGCAATATTAATAATGTGTGTACTGTTTGTTCTTTTTTGGATACTGTTAGGATATAAGATGGAGTCATTCCTTTTTTTTTCAAGTTCTTTTATGTGGAAAGCGCTTAGAAGCATTGTTTTGCATTATGCGCTCTATAAGACTAACATTATTATGTTATTATTATATTGGTATTCATTTTCTAATGTTGATTTTTATCTTGTCACCATGTTAACAGTACGCAGATCCTGTCGCTGATCTACTTGACAAATCACGCATCTTTAGGTCAAGGCTGTTCAGAGAATCGTGCGTTTTTCATCGAGGCAATTATATAAAGGTACATGACATTAATATTAATGTTCAAACGCTACAACATTTATGATCTAATGGAAGAAATCGCATTGCTTTAAAATGCTAATTCACAGGTATCTTCTGAAAATTCCAGCGGACTACTTTAAAATTCTTGGTAATTTGCCAGGTATTCGAAATCTACTAATGTATTCATGGTTTCCATGACATCAGTTGTTGTACTCGTTCAAGATATTCTGTTACATATACTACGTTTGACTAATGAGATCAAATGTGGATAGGATTCCTCATATTATGGAAACACATCGTCTCAAGAGTTGTAAATTGAAGTGGTAGACAACAATACTATTCTTAAATATATTTCCTTGGCATAAACCAGGGAGTTGCTTAAACCAACAACTAAGTTTATTAATAAGAACTTGGGACTTATCTCTAGCAACACTGCAGAGCAAAATTAATGATGACCTAATGAACAAATAACTTGGACAAAGTTTGGAATTTCTTATCAAGAAAACTATAAAATCTAATTAAAAATGAGGTCTCATAAAATGTGTTTGAATAGTATGCATGTGCTTATTGGCATCTTATCTGCTATGGGGAGACAAAATAACTAGGTATACTGTATAGGAAAGCGAATAGTATAAATTTTTAATGATTCTGTTTTCAGTATACGGACACGATACCTACATAGTGGGCTATAAATATATGTTGGCGAAGCATTATATTTACAATCTGCGATGCTGTGTCGTAAAAACCTACCTTGAACATGCTTAATTTTGTAGTTTATAACTCCATTAGTATGAAAAATGAATAAAATCACTGAATTTGGTTATTCATCACGATACACATGGACCAGATGACAATAGCGATGTAGTCCACATTATAATATTTAAAAAAAAAATTAACCTAAGGCAGATTTGCTTGTTGCTATTTTTGGATCCATACTTAACAAGATAATGCATGGATTTCATTAGAGAGCTTTTGATTGCACAACGATGGTAGGACGTAGACCATAGTGACGTCAGTAAAAGTCATCTGCGCATGCGAGAACGTTAAGGTCACCTCTTCGAATAGATTCTGGAACGCAATTTTGTCAAATCTACGTATGCAGAGAACGTAGGACGGTCACACATGAGTGATTCCGTTCTAGCGTCGCATCGTCGCACAAATCGAAAGCTCCATATTTATATATTCCTCGGCATAATTTCGGGGAGAAAATCTTGTCAAAAATATTTTGATATGAATGTTTTGATTTTTATTAGAATATCAGAAAATAGTTAATGATTTGCGTGACATGTTCAATGTGGGTAGTATGTAAGTATAAAGTAAGAAATGGTGTTTTTATGTCTTATTTTCATATTTTTGTTCTTTTTAGGACTTGAGCAGGTTAGGTAGAAATCTTGAGCGCATTGTTATTGTTGACAACTCTCCTGCTTCTTACATCTTCCATCAAGACAATGCTGTAAGTACAACAAAGCACTTGATCCTCATTGAGTCATTTAAGCACAAGCTTTTTGAGGGAATACTCAAATACTCAGTACATAAGAATTGTATTTTAAAGTTGTGGACATAAAAAAAAATCCAACTGTACTTATCGTGGGTTCTGGATGGATAACTAAGTGTTAAAAGATCAAGACTGAAAATCCTCAGGCCACTATCAAGTGACCGATGAAAACCAGAGCACCATGAGGGGTGTGGAGGTCAAAGGTGAAACATCTTCCTAAGTCCTTGGCAATGAGAGATTCTCTACAGTTAAATAGTTTCAAGCTGTGATAGGTCCTTCCTAAAAGGTGATGTGATCTTGTGGATCTGTGAGTATTTAATTGCAGTCGTCTGTTTGGCTAGCGTAGCTTATGTTTCAGCAAATCTGTCCCGGGTACAGATTAAGTAACAAAATCATTAGAATTCTAATTAAGTATTTAGAATATTGTAAGTGATGATTATTTCAAGTGCTGGAAAGACACTGATGAAAAGCAAATTGTTTTAAATAATAATTGTCTTGCACTTAGTCAGTAGATAAAGGATATAAATTTGCTTCTGTGTGCTGTAAATTTAGAAGTAAACAAAACAATAAAAGGCAAAACAAATAATTTAAAAATATCACTAGCTCTATGTGAGTTGGAAGGAAATAAAATTGTAACAATTTAATTATATATAACAATGCTAAATGGTAATATACATTTTTATTTCATTTTATTTAATGTATATAAAATTCAGAAAATATGTTTCAATCTGTGATTGCAAAGTGTATTAAATAATACAGATGATGTTAATTACTATTCAATATATTTTTTTCCAATATGAATTTTGTATTTTTTTTAGACTTATACAGTTAGTGAATGAATCAGTAATAAACTCCATAGATGTTGTTTGAATTACAGTATCAACAAAATAACAGATAATAATAATTAGTGCAATGACTTAACTCTTTATATCAACATGTAGAAACAAGAATTCACTAAAAACAATAAACTTTAAGGTGTGCAGTAAATATGCAATAGATGGCTTTTGAATTGTCAAGATCATTGTTTTCTACCATCACACACTTCCTGGTTTTGCTGACTATGTTACCTAGATTTGCAGATTAAAGGGACCATCTGAAAAGTTTTCTTGTTTTGTAGTTTGCAGATAAATAGCGATGGGACTATAACCATGGAGTTATATTTGTTAATAATTATCCCTTAACTATGTTTGCTCCTTTTACTTCTTCAACTAGCATTCCGCTATCAATATCTCATTGTTTGCACTGTAAGAGTGTTTGTGAAAGATTTACAACAAAAGGGGAAGTGATGCACATGTACACTGACCTTGCCTTACCTGTCGTCACCTTGAACCTTTCAGAGGATTGTAAATAGCTTGATTTTGACCTCATTCATATTTATACAAATAGAATATTTTGAGTATTAAACAAAACTTCATGTGGATGACCCTTCTTATTATGAAGAGATGGACTTTTGCCCCTTTTACACTGCCAAGCCAAGGTAAAAAGGCCAAAAAGAAGTTGGATTATCTTGACCATGAACAATGCTAGAGTTTAAAGATCGGCATTTCTTGTGTTTTTTGCTCACAGCCAATAAACGTTTCCCTAAAGAGCTGTATTTTTGGTAGTTTGGTGTTTGTATACTCTACTACTACTACCATTACATTGATCAAATCTGGTGATGTACTGTATTCCCTGGTACATAGACAAGTGCAGGCTAACAACAAGGTTGCTTTAAACCGCGTATTAGAAACAGGTGGTTTCAAAAACCTTTCAAGTGCTTCAGTTGATCTCATGCATCCATTTAGTAATGTAATTCTTGAAGATTAACAAACAATTTTAAAATTCTGAGTCATAATGGCTTGCATCACTTTCTTTGGAACTTTTCTGATATTATCTTTTGCCAAACTTATTAGGGGACCCCAAGATAGATCAGAATGATATCTTTAAAATTAATTTTTGAAAATGAAAGATCTATAAGGGGTGAATTAAATATGTAATATCTCTGGTAACCTGATCTAGGAATTGTTACAGTAATTAATTCACCCATAGAGCAAAGTTTGCTCTATGATTCACCAATGTATTAATGTCAGATTAGATTCCAGTTATAATCAAAATAGAACAAAATTACAAATAATGACATCTGTTATTTGATTGATTGATTGATTTATTTGTTATTTATACTTGGTTTCCTCTTCAGTAACAAATTAACTGTTCTCCCAGAGGGCCCAGTACACATAAAACAGTCCACAACACACAAGACAAACATACACACATGATGCTTTAGACAAACTAAATCTCAATATGAGGTTTAGGGAGTGAAGTTGTTTTGGTCGTGAGAAAAAGTCCTGCAACTGACAGGAATTGAACCCATGACCCTGGGATTGGAAGGCAAGCATCTTTACCACCAAGCTATTCAACTCCACTTGATATTTCTGGTATTTTAAAATGAAATAGTATTGTTTGTATTCCTAATGTTCTACCTATAAAATTGTCTTTTTGCCTTACAGATCCCAGTGGTATCCTGGTTTGACGATGTTTCCGACACAGAACTATTGGACATCATCCCTCTTCTGGAACGTATATCAAAACTTGATAATGTGTACACAATACTCAGGAAGGAGAACCATAATCATATACAGACATAACACAAGAAATCCTGGGCAAGTGGGCTACGAGTTAAAAAAAAAACGCTTTGTCAGTCGTCAACACCAGTTGATAACTGATACAATCCGTTGTTTGTGTACTTAAGTGTGTGATTTACATCGATGATTATTGTGAATCAGCTGTAGTCAACCAGTTATCTGCAACCAGCTATGGGCAAATAGCTGTTGGCAACTAGCCGTGGGCAAGTAGCTGTCGGCAAATAGGATGCAAGTCTGTAGCAGCTCACAGATTCAGTATGCAGACAGGACTGCATGCAGTCATAGGACCTGCTCCTTTTAATAGAATTTATATTAACCGAAAGAAATAGACACACAAAAAAAGAAAACAAATTATTATTTTTTATGATTGATACATTTGATTTATTTTAGTGATATTATTTTCATCAGTTTTGTTTATAGATATTATCATTTTAACTTTGTTGTATTTTTTTCCTTTGATTAGGTAATGCAACGTTGCCCTATATATGCAGATTTTGAAATCCTGTTGATTTCTTGAAAATCCTATTAACTTGAATATAAAATTCCATATAATTAGTAAGAAATATTTCAAGAATTCAACAATGTTTATTTACTAGTAGACTGATTTTTAAGAAATATGTTTGTAGAGTCCACAAAGGGTAATGTTTGTAAAATTGTGCAAATCAGCCTAATTTGCTATTTAGTTGGTCATGACACCTACATGATATTTGGTCAGTTTACTTTGGTACCACAGAACAAGACCAAATAATTGTCACACCTCTGACAATGTGTATATACTATGTTGTATATAAATGCAGAAATCCCTAAAATAGCCCCTTGGTCTAAATGATCTATTGTTCTTTAAACTAAAGAGCCATGATAGCACCCAAAACCAAGGCTTTTTGCCTTGTACAATCTTCCTACTCATAGTGCAACCTTTTCATTACAATATGTATTCTCAACAGAGAATAAGAATGGTTTTGTTTGTTAATATCAAAATACAAACATACAAACTAAAATTGACTTGTTTAGGAATTGTTTGTCTTGATGAAAATATTAAATGGAAAGAATACCATATTACCAATTACAAATATATACCAATCTTTATTTTCTGAACTTGAAGCATGGAGGTATTAAAATAGTCCTGAATGCATAAAGTTAGTATTTCTGTTTTACCAGTTTCTTTGTTAGTTTCATATTTAGGTGTCTCATAAGTTTTTTTATTCTATTTAATCGGAATTACTGCCATACTTAACATTTAGTTGCACATTTATTGTGTTGACAATTTATAGTGAATTATTTTTGAATTATTTCTACATAAGTATTTGCAAAATTGAAACTAAATTTTATAGATTAAAATCATTTTTTTAAAATTATTAAATAATTTCACAAAAATCATACAAATTTGTACATTGAAGGGAACTGACCGTCAATTTCACAGTTAATCCCCTAACTCTCCTGCATTTGTGAAGATTTAGAAAATTTCTTTTCTTTTATCTACTAATTTTCATGAAATCTTCTGGATCAGAAGATAATTTAATTCACTTGAAATTTATGTATATAATTCAAAATGCAAATTATAAAATTATTAAAATGAAGTAGAAAATATTTGTATGAATCCTCTGTAATTTATCTTACAGAAATGAAATTGTCAAACTATTTTTGCTAAAGAGTTTTCTAAACTTTCATTAAAATCAAGAAGATTGAACTCTTGACCTATTCAGTGACAGTGACCTGTGAAAGTGAGGTCAGTATTTAAATTGAACTATTGACCTGTTCTGTAACACATGAAATAAAGGTCAGCATTTATGTATTATAAGCATTGTATGTGATTGTAAAGAAAGGGATGAATTAACGTTTTTTGTGAGTACTGTAATACAATTTATAAATATTATATATATTATCTTGTATATTAACTAATTTTACTGGGTGTTTGTTGGGAAAGTTAATATGAAATGTTTGTTTTATTTTGGAATTGTTTTCATAAACAGCATTGAAAAATTAGTTTGTAGATTGGAACTCAATATTTGGAATGCTTACTTTGTGTATTTGGTTTTCAATTGAAAAGTAGAATGGAAAAAATCCATTTATCTGATACACATACGTAATACCATAATGATAATACCATTCCCATATTTTTTTTTGCATAGACCCTAAGCTGGTACAGTAATCAGTATAAGATTTATTATACTAAAAAGTCTGTAAATCAGTGAAAACCTACATTTGTCATCAGTGTATCATTGAAATGTAATAACTTAATTTATCATTTTAAATAAGCTATACAGTGTTCATATTGTTTAGGGTTTCCATACTTTATGACAGGCAGTATATCTTCAACAATAATTTCTTTTAATAAATTTATTGTTTTGTTGAACTTCCTTTTTTAATGCTGTATTCTGGAACATTCGAATAGATCTAGAACAAACCGATTCCTTAATTTGAAGGAAGAAGTAAATAATTAATTACAGTATTGTAATATTATTGTACAGAAATAATTTGTCAAATCATATTAAGGACACAATTCAGCTCCAGTTAGTTAATTTCATTAATAAAAAAGCAAAGCTCGCTTTTCTTATTTGCTAACTTGTGCTCATCACACCCATGTTACCATGCGTATCTGGAGTATAAACAGGCAGCTACAACACAAGCAGCACCCGCTAATGATTATATTTTAGGAATTATATTTTTACAGCTGAAATGGAGCTGAATTGCAACTTTTTACCCGCAAATACTAACGCTTGATGTACATAATTACCAGAATGTATTCATATTAATGCTTTATCTAACACCAGCTTTTGAACATTTCTCTTAACAGCTCCCTCAATAGTAAAGTAAAAAAACAGAAACAATGGTGGCAGTATTCTTATTGCTACATTTTGCTGCTTGGCTTTGAAGGTAAACAATGCTGCTCTATTCAATATTTCATGTTTTTAGAAAGCCATACTCAAGAAATGTTATCCAAATGTACAATTTCTGCATTATTTATAGGCATTTTATAAATATAATTTATAAAATTTCAAATTTATAATAGTTGGACTTTGTTATATGAAAACCCAATACTGCACCTGTATGTTAAATTGGAAATTATGTTGTAAATTTTACTTCAAAAAATTGCAAAAAATAACCATGCTTTAATAGACACAAAAGGGTTCACTTGTGAATATCATGTATATTGTCCATAGCAGATTTCTTTTATTATCAATATTAAGTATGCTGAGGAACATATAGTCTGTTACATAGCAACATAAGTTTTACCAGTGTTTTCAAGATATTCTGTGTAAGAGTAGAAGTGAATGATTTTTTGTTTCTGATTTTAGCTTTTAAATTTCATCACTCTATGTTCATCATAATCAATAAAGCAGCAATTGAAGTCTAATTGAATATTTTGGATTGGAAACAATCAAAACACTAATCAGTATGTAAGATTTTTTACATGGTCTATAAGATATGTATTCATTGTAAACTGTGTCCCTTCTGAGCAATTTTCTGGGGAGTGTATCTTACAGAATATAATACTGAAATGATTGTAGGCACCACAAAAAATTGAGATTTACAGTAGTGTAATAATTTTGATAATATTTTTGTTTCGGTTAAAGGTTAACAGCAACTAAATGTACAATGTGTAGTTTTGAGACATATCAATTTGCTCATATCATTTCATATGTGTTCTTATTTTCAATGTGTTTACATTTGTTGGCCCTATCCATATATAGTACTCACCCATGTGAATTTTAACAAAAATAGCAGCAGTTCTAGAAAAAATTCTCCTTACTGGTAAAATGTAACATGTAAAATATAAGATGCAAGATACATTTATGGTATGAACCCGCCTTCACACTATTGGTATGTTACCTTAATCGTATTGGCCTAAATATGACTATCTGTATGCCAGACGGCTTCCTGCATTGTTAAATGTCTTACAGTTTCTCTCCTTTCTACATTTTCACTTGTAAAATCTTAATGTTATCGGTCAATTGATATTGAATAAGTGGTGTCTTTAACATGTATCCAATCAGGTCACAATGTATCTGTTACTACCATTTTTGTTACTTTATCATTTTCCTGTTAATGTATGTAAAAAAATGATAAGAAGACTTGCTTTATCTATCTGTCAGTAATGTAAAGATTATGGAAGGTTTATGGATTTGTGAATGTTAATGTTGTAGATATCACAATTGAAGATGCAAGAATGAAATATTAACATTCATTATAAATTATTTCAAGATGCAAGGAACGAAAGTAATTATTACAAATTCCAAATTCTTAAGCCTTCTAGTTTTTACTACATTCAGGTTTGTGTATAGCTTGGACCATATTATTATGTTTCTGGAAATAACTATATTTATAACACATTTATTGCTACATGTATATACAGCACCAGTGTTTGCACGCAAGTGCATCCACACATCATTATTATAGGATGTAGCTTTGTTATCGCGTGGCCATTAATTTTTTCACAGCAAATAAGAACATCAAAAATCAGAACATTCTAGTTGCGCTTCAAAATAATGAGTGACCTCTTGGGTCAGCATGACAACCTTTGTGGTCAGCTATGTGACATTTTAAGGTCAGCTACATGACCTTAATTTCATACTGTTTAATAATATCACAGATTCTATGATAATATTAACATGAGTTTCATTTAGCCTGCGCTTAGGAAAGTTTACTGCAGTGCCTAGAAAGAACTGACCTTTAACCCTCACTGGAGTAGGATGTGATGGATTCTCTGCTGGAAGTGTGTTGTGTTCTTTAATAAAAACATTTATTAGGGATTTTGTGATAGATATGTGTTACTTTGTTGATGAAACTTTAACAAATTGTAGATCAGATAATTTCTATTCTTGGGTGCATTTTTATATTAAAAAGATTGACATGAATATAATATCTATGGTTCCTTATTTTGAGTCAAGTTATTAATAAACTATAATCGCATCTATTTATCATAATCATATACTATATA